TTTTTTTTTTTTTGCAGAATTTGGTCTGCGCCACATTCTTGTTTTTTATAAATTCTATCAGAATTTTTAGTACTTAAAGGCTTTAACTCCGCCCATTTTATCTACAGTTTCAGAAATATTTATTTGCGCTTCCAGTTGAGTCTGCGCAACTGTACCCTTTTAGTTCTGTATGTGAACTTTACTGTTCCACTGTATGTGGGATAGCAAAAAAACTTACGGAAATATTCTTCCTGAGCTCCTAATAATCGAGAGTCTTAATAGGACGTTGTAATTTCATTTTACAATTTGTTTTGGAGAAGTACCCCGTCGTTGCCGAGATGGTAGAGGTGCTAAAGGAAACAAAAGCTAAACTCTGTGTTTTTGAGACAATCATGCTGCTTTTCCAACAGAAGAACATTTTAAAGAAATCGTTTAAGTGATGAAAACAACTCATAAGTTTTTTGGAAGCACTACAGGTAAAGAGAAACCAAGAACCGCGCAAGGAAAAGTAATAAGAAATTTGGAAAAGGGCTTTTCTTTTTGATAGTAATTTACTCAAAAGTTACAACTTGAGGTAGGCTGTTTTACTTATCCACTGTGACATGGTGGTTTAGGGAGGTTTCTGCCTGAGCATGTAGAGTACTGAAATAATAAAAGCATCTCAACAATTTGGTGTGTAAAAAATCGTAATAAAATTGAATTTTCTTACATTCACTGCGTTTCGGAGCGTCTCATTTCAGCGCCTCCCCTTTGACCCTTAATTTCCTAAGTGAACAACACTAAGGATGGTGAAATACAGGTTTTTTAGTCGTTATTTTAATACAAACCCGTCCGAAAAAATTTTGCTGAAAGTTAAAAACCTTTGGGAATTTAAAGTTCAGAGTATTGCTTTACTTCAAAGTAATAGAAGCAGTAGAAAAAAAAATAAAATTTTTTGGAAAACGGATCACTGTTTTTAAAGAGTGATAAAAATGGGGCCCAATTTTTGCCAATTGACGGTTCATTAGCTGTTTCTACCAAGTTAAGGCGGAATATATCAACAAACCAATCGTTTACTAATTTGTTACTCCTCTAGATTAGGGGTTTACGCGCGACGCACATTCAGTAAGCTCTCTGAATGGTTACGCTTCACTAAGGTTCCGGAAAACTCACCTCAAAGTTCTGTCTTAATTTTTAATTGTTGCAGATGTATCAAGGGAGTTGGTGTGTTTTTATAATTATTTAATTACTTGAGAGAATAGTTACAAAACTAAAATAGCGAAAAGGAAGAGAAAAAGAAACAAAACTGGAAAAAGCTCTATTAAGAGATTTCATATTTACGGCAGAAATTTTTGCTTTTCATCTCTTAATTCTTTTGTATTCTCCCTTAGACGGTCAAGGTTTTTTAAAGAAATTAACGCTGTAAATAGCTAACTTCTATAGCAGTTAATTAATCGGTGACGGTTTCATAGTGATTTATCTTCGTTTTTTTAGAAGTTCTTTCAAGGGTTCCTAGTGATCAGGAAGCGAGGAGATTTTGCTGTCAAGTCAAGTTTATCGTTTTTTTTTTATAAATTTACAAAATGTTCAATGTGTTATTCAGTGTATCACCAGTGTGCAGCGAATGAGTCAGTTAATTGGTGATTCTTGCATCCCTTTATAGATAAGTTTGAGTTAAGAGTATCGTTCGGAATCTCCAAGAAATGGTGCAATCATTCGTTCTCACAATTGTTCCATTATGTTTTAAACGAATACGCTTCGAATTTGCGTTGCGAGGTTTCTTAGTTTTACTTTATTTTTTTATTTTTTAGTTGCCAGATCATTAAATGAGGAGGAACAAGCGCATTGGTCATCCAGCAAACGAAATGGATGCTGGTCTGACTGCCTCGTCTTCCCAAGGGTAACTGTGATTTGATAGCTATGAAAGATGCTATTTTATTATTATTAATTGAGCATGTAGCTTTCCCATACTTCTCAAGCGGTTTTCAATGTACTAACAGCGTGCAGACTACAAGTGAGCTAATTGACGATTCCTACATTCCTAATCTTGATAGAATTTATAGCTTAGTTTAACTTAAGGGCGCTGTTTAGACTACCACAAAATGTCAGAATTGTTTGTTCTTACTTCTGTTTTGGTTACGCATTTTAATTAACCGACTTTCTTTCCCATTTACGTTGCTTCATTACTGGAACTGATATTTTTCTAAAATTTATTTGCAACAAGGGTTTTGTGTGATAGGGCGACAAACGCTCGTTTGTATAAGGTGCTACAAAAAAAAAAAAATACTGATGCGTCACGTAATAGCCTTGTGACTGCAGCTTGGTGTTTGGAATCACAGAATAAATTTAGTTCATTCAATTAAGTCTAAGTTTAGTATGGGAAGTGTGTTAAGGTCCAATAAAAATATCGCCTTATCAATATTAACATAGATATTGAAGTTTTTATGGCTTTTAACATTTTGCTTTAATGTAATAACATACTGTAGTATTGTAGAAAAAGCGAAGGGAATAAAGAGGAGAACAGAAGCGATAAAAAGAGCAACCTATCTTGTAATACTGTAGATTCGTCATCAAGCATGAGAACGCCTGACTTTTTCGAAAGCGTTTCGACGCCCAGACGGTAAGACGAATTTGAGTAATGTAATATTTTTGCTATTTACTCGCTTTAGTTACCGCAAATTCTCACTTTAATTGAGCGGATTTTTTCGATCGTCTCCTGCCTAAGACATTATAGCGGTATTTCTCGTTGGCTTCGTTATTCGCCTTGGTTTCTGGTTTATAGAATTATGGAGCCCCCTGATCTGATTTTAAAGCTTGTTTAAAAGTTTTTTTTTTTGATGGTTTTTTACGTTTTATTGTACGGCATGGTTTTAATTTTTCTTCCCGTACGTTAGTTGTTTTCATTTTAAATTTTAAAATATAACTGTACTACATAAGAGCTGCTGCTCTGCTAATACTGGAAAATATAGTAGCGTACAAGGTATTTTTCTACAACCATAGAAAATTAGTTTTTTAAAGAAATTTGTAGCTCACTTAATAAAGCAGTGTGTACAAGGAAAATTAGGGATCAAATAAAATTTTCTTGGAGCATTCGTAGTAAGCAACTTTGAATTTTTATCAGCAGAGACTCATGCATGCTGAGTAGGTGTAATAAATGCGGGAACGAATGATTTTAGAATCTGATATTTTATGTCGCGGAGATAGTATTGACAAGAGTAATTTTCAAAAGCAGGATACATACGATACTTTTGAAGTTAGAAGTGTGGAGGTTTTTCATATCCTTCCTCCTTTTCCTCTTGGAAAGTCACGGATGTACTTTATATGTTTCCGGTGACTTGTCAAGTTTCAGATGCCTTCTCTCCGAGTTTGAGGAAGAACTAGAGGAGGAAGTTCGGAATAAGTGTGGAGAAAACATTCTTTCAATAAAATCATCTACTTTAGAGCCATCAGCGTTGTGTGACAAAACTTATGAGGGACGTGATGCAAAAAGTAATTCTTATTATTGCTAATTATTATTATCAATGGTAGTTTGCCGTATCAGTAAAGATGCATAAACCTTTTTGGTTTATTTGAATGCTATAATGGGAGAACTTTATAATGAAGATGAAGCTTGAGTGCTGCCTTGCTAGGGAATTTTTTCACTTGTTCGTAAGCTATGTCACAGGTGTGCGAGCCTTTGTGGATGTTAGTGGCTGTTTTAATAAGACGAAGGTGGAGGAATCTTTAAGAAATTTAGGAGCTATGGTTTCTGCCAGGTTAATACTTTTTCTTTTTTTTTTTATTATTATGTCTTTTTCCTTGACACGTTCTCCACTTTTTCTCCATTGCATTCAAAATTTAAGATACAATATTGGCTGAGTTGTATTACAACTGTGAAATTCTCAAATGAACTTGATATACGCTTTTGCTTTTAGATTTTGTAAAGACGTTACCCATTTGGTATTTTGGAATGGCTCACAGGATTTGTTAGATAAAGCTTACGAAAAAGGATTTTCTTCTCTAATAGTTGCACCTCACTGGGTTAACAAGTTTGTTGATATTGGCTCAGTACTTCATGGACCAATCTCTTTGTGACATTTTCATTACAGCTGTTCTTACTCTCCTATTTTGTTTTCTAACTGACAACGTATTTAGAGGTAGATTTTGCAAAGTTTCCCGTTAAGTTTAGTTTACTACGCAGACTTTTCAAATTACTCATTGCAGATGTGTTGCTGAAAAAAGGATTGTTGATGAAGCTCCATACCTTTTATATGGTTTAACAGGATTAGCTCTTTCTCATGCTGAGATGGCGAGAGGAAGGGTGGGGAAGATTGGAGACTTGGTATCATTAATTTTCTTAATGAGAAATTGTCTTTTTATATGATGATTTATTCCGAAAATCTGCTGAGCGATAAGAAGTAGATAGAAAATAACGAGATATTATCAGGTCGATAGTTTTAAGGAGTCCTGAAATCTGTGATGCATAGTTTCTTTAGTTTAAACAAAAACAGAAAGGAGCTTGAATCTTACTTTTCAGAGAAAGTCCAGGAAGAGGAGCTCCATAGTCAGTATTCTGGAAAGATCTGTTCCGAAGCGTGCTTGTCTAAGATCAGAGAGACGAAAACGTGGAAAAGTAAGTCTAATTTTAGAGATAACCTTAAGAGAAGTGTAGAATTGTTTAAAATCGTAGTCTCATGAAATTTAAAATTTTTGTCATTATTCGTAGTATCATAAAATTTAAAATTTTTTTTGGTGTTACCTCGAAGAGGAAATGAGAATCTTGATATAATAATGGACATTTTGGTATCTTTTTTGCTTGACACTTGTATTTATCGATATGCAGACCGCGGTGAAATTTCTTTGACAAACCCTTCAGTCTCATTAACTATTCAAATTCATGAAGAACGAGTTTTCTCACAGTTGTCTTTTAAATCGTTTGTTTCTTGTTTTTAGAATTTCATTTTCTTTAGTGAGTTTCAACGTAAACCGTGATCGCTAGAACAGACCATATTGTGATAATTGCTTTATCAGGCCACTGGTAAACAGTAATTGAATTTTAAGTCGAAAGGGGAGGAAAAAGGATCTCTAGGTATATTACTGCAACACTTAATCAAGACGCTGAATGTAATGAGGAGGTTCGTGAGTTAGTGGACAACTTGAAGAGATGGGGTTTTACAGCAGTCAGTAAACTTACGGTTGGCAAATTAGATCCCAGATTCAATGGGAAATGAGTGAATCACTTGCGAGACGTTAGAGGGTTCAAAACTAGTGATTTTTCTGTTTGTGAAATGGTTTTGCAGCATCAAAATTGTTACGCATACACAGAATTTAATCCAAAAGAAGTGAAGGGGAAATACAGGAAAAAGCATCAAAAAAAAGTGTGGTGTTAAGTGACTGCGAAGGTTTAGCTTTACAGGACATTACATTAACGGCATAAAAAGCTTCCTAACGCTTAGCAGCTTGGGAATGAAAATGTATTCCAAAGAGCATTTTATTTTTTTTTTTGATTTCTCTGAACGTATATCTATACGAGAACGATGAGGTTTGGTTTCTGCGATGATTTGATGGAAATTATAAACTAGAAGTAAGACGTCAGTGGTTAATGAAGAAGGAGTTAAAGCAAAAACAGAGTATCTTCAGAGGACTACGTCGGGAAATTTCCTATGTTTGGAAATCAGATCTTCAGCAATTGTATTTGGTTCCTTTAACAAAAGCTCATAAAATAGAATTTATTGAAGGATTTTTGCTGAGTCCTAGAATAGTGAAATAAAAAGCTTTGCTTTTTAATTCTCTTGACATAACTCCGTTCATTGTGTTTTTAAAACACTGAACAATAAAACTTGAACAGGTTGTCACTTCGTGGTTAATTTTTTGAGATTAGGGTTGGAGAACGCGTGGAACAGGTAATTGATTAGCAGTTGTTCATTGTGAAAAATGTTGGAAACGTTGGAGAAACGTGGTGTTTCTTGGATGACTGTTAAATGTCTTAATTTTTTTGCGGAATAAGAGATGTAACTTTTTCAATTAGCACTTGTAAAAGAATCTTTTTTGCGCCCTGTTTACTAATCTGGAAATAGTGAAGTAAAAAAATTCCAATTATTGATTAAACAGTATTCATTCTTTTTATTCCATAAGAGCTGAACCCTTTTTTAAGCAGACCAAGACAAGTGGTCTTAGTTATGACTGTAGCATTAGCGATTTGGATCTCATGTACACTATCGAGGCTCTTTCTGACCAACTTGCTCCTGTTTTAGGTGAGTCACGTTTCAATATCGTACTGTGTGCTAAGTTTTCTTATTGAGTTTTATTTCTTAGAAATTCTCTACCGCTTTTTAGCTTCTTTGGAAAGCAGGGGTGTTACCGTTCAAGATATTATGACTCCATTAGTGGAACGGGTTAAACGGCGAGTAGACGAAATAAGTCAGTTTTTTTTTTTATTTCTTTCATTTCATTTTATTATAGTTATCTTAGAATATTACTGGCCTGACAAATCATCGAATTTGTTTTGTCTTACAGTTGATTTATTAGGAATGAAACATGTGTGATTACTGTGAGACTGATTTTGATCACTTGCAGCACGTATTTTTTAATCCTTAAACTGATGTTTTCTTCAGGTGAGTCTTACATTGTCATAACGTCGACCACTGGTGAAGAATTTGGGCGTGCGAAACACGGTATGTTGAATAAGCCGGATAAGCATGTTGAACGTTCGCCCTCACTTTTTGATAGTCGTGAAGGAAGCGCAGAGATGCTTTTAAGCAGTCGGCAAGAAGAGTTAGGTGAAGTTTACGGATGTTGACTTTTTTGTGATTACGGATTTGTTTGTCGTTCACTTCTTTTACTGTATTTGTTAGGGATGTCTCGTTATTGGTACTTTGCGAATATGGAAATTATTTGTGACCTGGTTTTTCTTCAATGTTTTAATGTTTGCTGCTAAAGCTCTTGTTCGATTCATGGCTCAACTGCTTCATTGATGCTTTGGATATTTCCCTTTGCTCCTACTCTAAACTTATTTCAAGATGGCTTAAACCCAGACGATTCGATTGGTGATAAGGATTGTAAGTCTGCTTCACTGGAAGTTCTCACTAAAAGCCAGTCTGTTCCCGCCGCATGTTTAAAATCAATGAAGTCTCGTTTTGTGGTAAACTTTTTTTGTCGTAAAGTTTGAGAATTTTCTATTTGCATCTACTTAACAGTATTAGAGAAAAGTGTTTTGGAAATCTTGTGTAGAAAATGGACAACTCGTCTTCAAAAAAATTATCCAGATAGAACCAGGTGTAACTCTTTGAAAGGCGCT